AGTTATGCTATGTAAAATAAACCAATCACCCAAAGACAAATGTGGGGATATCACTTATGTGAGGTATCAAAATCACAAAGAGTACTCAAAATCACAGAGACAGAAAGAATGGTGGTTTCTACCACTGGAAGGAGTGGATAATAGGGATTGACTCTTTAATCAGTATATGGTTTCTATCTTGTAAGATGAAAGAGTTCTAGAGATGGATGGTGGTGGTAGGGATGGTTGGACGACAGTATGAATATCCTCAATGTCACTTAATTATATGCCTAAAAATGGTTAAGATATTAAATTTTATTTTATGTACATTTTATTAAAATAAAAAATTAGAGGAAAAGGAGCATGTGGAAAGCAAGACAGCTATTTGTTGAATAGGACTGTCCCAGGCATTGGGGGACACCTAGCATTCCTGTCTGCCCCTATGTTTTAATTTATTTTTTGGTCCTTGGGATTGAACTCAGGGGCACTTGATCACTGAGACACCTCCCCAGCCCTATTTTATATTTTATTTAGAGACAGCTTCTCACTGAGTTACTTAGCACCTCGTTTTTGCTGAGGCTGGCGTTGAACCCACAATTCTCCTGTCTCAGCCTCCTGAGCCCCTGGGATTACAGGCGTGTGCCATCACGTCCAGCCTGTTCCCATCTTTATGACAAGCAAAATCATTAGTTGGACATATTCTGCTCTTCGTTTATTTTATAAATTGGTATTTGAAATCTACACAACTAAACCTATGACTCATGCTGCTGTTATTAATGTGACAGTGTGCTTGGACCTCTGAGTGATGGAGAATCACATTCTTATTATAATAGCCTTCTGGGCTCTTGGCCTGTGTTCAATCCTGAGCTCAATCTCCAGGTATTTTTCTCAATTCTAGCTGATTGTGTAAGTGCATCTCCAATCCTTCCTTCTAGTCCAGTGTTTGCCACTTCCCTACCCTCACTGACTTGGTGCTAATTCATTTGGATTGCACACAGGCAGAGATGGGCTAGGAACTGTCATCCAGGACGAACCTTAAAGACTGGGCCTTTCTTATATTTGTTCTGTTAATTCCAGGAGATTCTTTCTGACCACAATGTTATTTTCCTGCAGTCATAAATCTTTCTCTAGAAAGAACCCATTAGCCATCAATAGATTGAGTTTAATAATATTATCAGACAAATGGAATTAAAAGTAGGTCAGGCCTAGTTTGTTCTAGTTGCCATTTCCAGAAGCAGCAGAATGAAAGGTATTTTAATTTAAAGGGAATAAGATGCCTGTTAGCAGAATTCCATGCTGCTTTGCTCTCCCAGATCTTCTTTTGAATATGGCTTGGAAAGGTCGGACTTCCCCCTGGTTGAGAGAGGTCTTGTAGCTAGTTGTTCCTGATCTGGTTCCTTATTTCTCTTCAGTTTCCTCTCTTGCCACTCCTTCCTCTAATTCTTAATGACTTGATAACACAAAGCTTAATACAGTAATCACCCCTTATCTACAATCTTGCCTTCAATAGTTTCAGTTACTTATAGTCACCTATGTTCTGAAAAGTTAAATGGAAAGTTCCAGAAATAAACAATACATAAGTTTTAAATTACATGCTGTTTTCTGAGTAGCATAATGAAATCTCATGTCATCCAGCTGTATTCTGCTCGGGATGTAAATTATCCTTTCATCCAGATTATCCATGCCCTGCACACTACCCACCTGTTAGGCACTTAGTGCCCATTACTCATCTTGGTTATCAGAGGGACTGATGAGATATCACAGTGTAAACACACAATTCCTATTTTACTTAATAATGGTCCCAAAGCACAAGATAGTAATGCTAACAATTTGAAATGTCAAAAAAGAAAAAAAAAAGCCATAAAGTGTTTCTTTTAAGTGAAAAGGTGAAAGTTCTCAACTTAAGGGGGAAAAAAAAAACCCTTATGTTAAGCTTGCTGTGATCTGTAGTTGGCCCCTGAGTTCAAATGGCTTCAATCTCCAGTATGTAACAACAAAAAAAGAATGAACAAAACATACTATATATTCAGTACCATGAAGTTTCAGGCAACCACTGAGCATCTTGAATAGTATCCCTTATAGATTAGGAGAGTTTTACTACAGTTTTCAAGTCTTTACCCAGGCATTTCTGCTGCTTAGGAGGCCAGCTTTATCTACCTCCTGATTCAATTCTGAAAATTACAGCTCAGACAATGCCTCCCTTATAAAACCTTGCTTAACCACCCATATCCGTTAACAAAGTTTGTATGCTGTTCAGGATATAAACATTTTCCAGGCTTCCATTGTTATGCTATATTATCACTTATAACTTAATTATTTTTTAAATTTGCCCCATATTATTGGGAGTTTTTTAAAAAATAAACTGTGATATTTGCCAAATTATATTGCTATATTGTGTACATGTACTAAAATGTAACAACAATTCCCACCAGTATGTACAACTATAATGCACCAATAAAAAAATTAAAAGATGAACTTTTGTTTTTACAGCTGTTCTAGATGTTAAAAAAGAAAGTTCCAAAGATACAGTTAATACACAGTTTCCCCTCTTATTAACATTTTACATTACTATGGTACTTATGCTATAATCAACAACCAACATTGATACATTTTAGTAACTAAAACCTATACTTTGCTTATATTTTTATTAGTGTTTACATAATATCCTTTTTGTTTGTTTCAGGATCCACCACATATGTTAATCAGTATCTCTTCTTAGACTCCCTTTGTCCTGTTTTTGATGACCTTGATAGTTTTGAGGAGTACCAGTTAGAAATTTTGATGAATACTCTTCAACTGAGATTTGTTTGATGTTTTTCTGGTGAGTTGACTGGAGTTTGGGCACATGCAATTCACATGATTTATCACTGTGGATGGTGACCTCGTCGATTATCTGGCTGATTTAGTGTTTGTCAGATTTCTTCACTGTAAGTTTACTGGCTCCTTACCCCTTTTCCTAACGTATTTTGTGTAAGGAAGTGGCTGTATGCAGCACACACTCAAAGAGTGAGGAGTTATGTCTGGGTTATGCTCTTTCTGCTTAAGGCAGAATAGCTACATAAATTATTTGGAATTCTGCATTAGAAGCTTAGGTCTTCTTCATTGACTTAAAAATATTTTTATGTCACTGAATACTCAGTGCTTAGCAGAGGAGGGGGTCAATGGTAGGCACTTAATACACTTGGAGAGCTGTTGTTTCCCAGGCATCCCTTGTAAATCTCAATATGGACATCATAAGATTAATAACAATTTGAACAATACTAATTCTAAGATATAAAATACTGCTTTAGAAGCACTATCTAGGTGTTTTATATCATTTGATCCTCATAATAATTCTAAGAGGATGATGCTATTATTATCACCAAAGAGGGTTTCAATTTATCTAAGATCACACAACTAATAACTGGTGGAGACAAGATTCAAAGCCATACTGTCTGACTCCAGAGTCCATGCTATTAAGACTGTGTAAGCTGGAATGCCTCTTTGGCCTTCCATTTCAGTTACATCGGCCTTGCTCCCTTGAATTTGCTTCATATGACAACAGGGTTCAAGATGCTAATAGCCCCTAGCTGGAAGACTTCTAATAGTCTTCTCAATTGCACCAAATTCTCTTTTAAATCTGCAAGGCTTCCAAGGAGTACTGGAACTGACATTCCTAAGGAATCTTAAGAGACCCCTCTTCTTAGGTACTCTTTGGATCACTGATCAAGTTCCCTGGGTTTGGAGTACAAGTGGGGCCCTGAGCTCGGGAAATGGGAAGACCATGTCCAGGAGTTACAGATAAGAGGAGCTGCCTGGGCTCATATCCTAATATTTTTCACACCTTAAATGAGGACACATGGCTCGTCAGGGTTACAGGATGACTGGGAGGTGTAATTAGAATGCCTAGCTACTGGCATTTCCAGGATAATTTGATAGTTTATGCTAAGAATAGCCTAAGAATAGTTCCAATAACATTGGAACTGTGATAGGAAATCTGAGCTATATTGTCAATGTGCTAATTAGCCATGAGTTGAGGAGAGATGTTATCAGCCCCAAACATCTTTATTTTCCATGATGTTTGAAATCTTACTATTACAGAAAAATCCCTTTGAATTTGGGATATCATGCTACAAGTTTGAATAAAGTGAATAGATTAATTCACAGTTTTTATACTCTGTTCCATGTCTGGATCCCAGAATAAAATCAGCTATTATAAATGAGAAAAGGAGAAACTAAAGATAGAGAGGAAGTTGAAAATTTTGCAGCAACCAACTGCTATTCTTTAGTAGCTAGAAATTATGGAATCTTGTACAGTTTATCTTGGTACAGTTTGTTTATATACTGAGTAATAATATCTGAAAATAGAATCTACTCTAAACCCCGAGTTTAAGAGAGATCGTAACAGTTTATTTTAAACTCCATTTAAAAACACAACAATATCTCACAAAGCACGATCATGTATTTTGATTTAGAGCCATAAGAAAAATCTAAGAATAAATCCCCTTAGTCATGGAGTTTCTTTAAATCAAGAATTGCAAAGATTTCAAACCATCTACTGAGTCTTTCAGATGCCCTTATGGAGTAGACCAATCTGTTTGTCATGAAATAAATGTGCTGAACTCCCACATGGGCATGAGGCTAGAATCAGCTCATATGGAAAACAAAATTCCTTATGCAAAATTACTTGTGAATTTTCATCATCCTTTAGAGATGATTTATTGGGAAAGCAATATGCAGCCGGCTACAGATAGTGGCGGTACATGCTGATGGACCTATTACAACACTCTTGGCAGCCAAGTTTGCTGAATAGTGAGATGGGGAGGGAATTTCTCCCCCTCTTTTCTTCGCCATTTTGCTTGGGGTTCATAATCATTTTCTTTTCTTCGTGCTTTCAGGATGAATATGTGCCATGATGAAAAACACTCCACTTAGCCTTTCTGCTGGGCTTAATGACAGGCACTTCTCTAAACACTTAGGTGCAAATTCATCCTTGTAAATATCCGTGTGAGATAGATAATATTATTTTCTCCCTTTTGCAGATAAATGAACTAAAGCCTGCAGAAGTTAAAGGAACACGTTCAAGGTTGCACAGCTAATAATGGTAGGATTTGAACCCAGGTAATCTAATTTCAGAGTCCATGTTGTTCACTTATATCCCATCCTCCCTTAGTGAGTTTTTAATGACATATAAATTCATGAACCATTAGGACACCTTTACATATTCTGCCATCAAGACTCTCGGTTTTGTGTGCTGGCAAAACAAATTTAGTGAAAACTCCAACTCATCTCGTTATTTGTGTGTCAAAACTACTTCTAATAAAAGTCTGTCAAATATACTGCTTTGGAAAAAGGGGATGGCATATAAACATCAAAACATATTTCAGAAATTTTCTCAGGTTTCCTTCTCTGCCAATAGGTGGGTTTGTCTGAAGTTTGATGGTAGCTCCAGTCTTGTGGGTGTGGACTGGTTGCCTGGGAAAGCCAATAGCAAGATGCTCTCACACCCTCCGGTCTTCCCACCCCTTACAGTCAGTCCCTTCTGTTCCTGCACACTTCAGGACTCACTGAGCTGGACAGAGCCTGGTTTTCTCCAGTTTCTCCAACCTATGCTCCCCACAAATCCCACCAAAGGCTTTCCACAGGCTTGCCAGGCTCAGACTGGCCCATGCAGACACAGCTGTAATATGACAGATCTTGGCTTAGGAACTAAACAGACTCTTCACAGAAGAAGAAGTACAATCAACCAAAAAACATATGAAAAAATGTTCATCATCTCTAGCAATTAGAGAAGTGCAAATCAGAACTAATCTAAGATTTCATCTCATCTAGTCAGAATAGCAATTATCAAGAATACAAGCAATAATAAGTGTTGTGAGGGTGTGGGGGAAAAGGTACGCTCATACATTGCTGGTGGGAATGCAAATTGGTGCAACTGCTCTGGAAAGTAGTATGGAGATTCCTCAGAAAACTCAGAATGGATCCACCATTGGACCCAGCTATCCCAGTCCTTGGTTTATATTTAAAGGACTTAAAATCAGCATACCACAGTGGTGTAGCCACATCAATGTTTATAGCAGCTCAATTCATAATAACTAAACTATGGAACCAATCTAGATATCCTTCAACAGATAAATGGATAAGGAAAATGTGGTACATATACATAGTGGAATTTTTCTCAGTCTTAAGGAAGAATGAAATTATGGCATTTGTAGGTAAATGGATAGAGCTGGAGAATATCATGCTAAGAAAAATAAGCCAAGCCCAAAAAACTGAAGGCCAACTATTTTCTCTAAAAAACAGATGCTAAACTTTGGATTGTGAGAGGGGAGTTAGGGGAGGAGAGGGGGTGTGGAGATGAGAAGGACAGTGAAATGAGATAGACAATATTACCCTATATACATGTATGATTACACTACTAATGTGACTCTGTACCATGTACAGCCAGAGGAATAAGAAGTTGTGCTCCATTTGTGTACAATGTATCAAAATGCATTCTACTGTCATGTATGTCTAATTAGAACAAATTAAAATGTAAAATAAACATATTTCAGAAGATTCATCTATTGTAAAAATCATTAGAAATGTGGAACAAGCCTAAAGTAAAAGGATATTTGTCACATTGTGCTTTATGAGGGCAAGAAAAATAGAAAAAGAAGGAAAAAAGAAGCCATTGAACGTCTTCTTGCCCTTAGCTGGGAAATCAATTTAGTTTCTATCTTTAATTGGAAAATAGATATATAATATTCACCAGGTACCAGGTACTGTCCATCAAAATCCCTGAAGTAGATATTGTTTTCTCCACTTTATAGATACAGTAACTGAGGCACAATGAGGTTAATAAAACTCTTACCCACTGAGATGGAGCCAGACTTGAACCCAGGCCAGTTGGCTCCAGAGCCTAGATTTCAAGTATTCATGCCTGCATGCTTGGAGGGCATCACAGTTATGTTTTTTTTGAGGAATTTTTGTTTTCTGTTTGTTCTCTTTTAAAAATTTTGTTTTCTTGTCTTCCTGTGGCTTGCTTGAATTCAATTTTTATTTATCTACAGTGTTTTTGAGAGTTTATGGCAACGCACTGTTGTCAATCTCTGCCAGTTTGAATAGTTCCAAAGTTCTCTCCCCAGAGAACATCCTTGAACCATCCTTTCACAGTAGTTCTACTGGTGACAGATTCTTTTCAGGCTTCATCTGAGAACATCTTGGTTTCTTCTTCATCCCTGAAGGGTATTTTTTTTTGCTGGTAATGGAACTCCATATCCCCAATTCTGGTCTTTCAATGCTTGAAAGGTACTGTGCCACTTCCTTCCTGGCTTCATGGATTCAAATGGAAAATCCACCACACTCAAATTGTTATCCCCCATTGGTAAGACATCATCTCTTGCTGCTTTCAGGATTTTGTCTTTCTTTACTTTTTTAGAAGCTTAACCATGATACATCTTAATGAAAATTTCTTTGGATTTATTCTGTTTGGGGTTATCTCAGCTTCTTATATCTATAGATTAATGTCTTTTGACAAATTTGGGGAATTTCAGCCATGGGTTCTTTAAATTTTGTTTTTTTCTCTACCCTCTTTCTCCTCTTTCCCTGGACTTTCAGTGATGTAAACATTAGAGCTCTGTTGTACTCCCACTTGTTGCTGAAGGTCTTTTCATTTGTTTTTTAGTCTATTTTCTCTCTGTTGTTCAGATTTGGTAATTTCTGTGGTCTAATTTTTCAACTTCACTGATTCTGTCCTTTGTCCTCTCATTCTGCTGTTGAGTCCTCTCATTGAGTTTTTAAATATGCTGCCTGTTTGATTTCTCAAATTTCTGTTTGGTTCTTCTCTATTCCTTCTGTTTTCTGTTGTTTTTTTTCCCTACAGTTTCATTTGGTTGAAAAATGTTTATAATTGTTCATTGAAGACGTTTTATGACTGTTGCTTATATATTTTGGACATTTATTTTATCTTGATGTTGAGACCTGTTGATTTTTTTTATCCATTTTAGTTTGTAATCTTTGTTCTTAGTATGATTGTTTTTCAGTTGAACACTGGACTTGTGAAGTATTATAAAACTCTAGATTTTATTTAAGTCTTTCATTTTATCAGGCTTTTTTTTTTTTTGGTTACTAGGGATTGAACTCAGGGGCACTCTACCACTGAGCTATAGCCAGTGCCCTTTTGTATTTTATTTTATTTTGATACAGGTTCTTGCTAAATTGCCCTGGTAGGCTGTAAATTTATAATCTTCCCACCTTAGTCTCTTCAGCCCTGGGATTACAGGAATGCACCATAGTGCCTGACTCTTTATCAAACTTTACCTCCCTTAAGCCATGTAGACCTAGGATATTAGACAGGCAAACCAAATGCTCCTCCAAGTCATCTTAAAGCCTAGTATTGTTTGTACAATGTCACTTCTGTCACATTCTATTGGTAAACCAAGCTGCAAAGTCAGCTCAGATTCAAGGGGAGGGAAAAAAAATCAAAATCTACCTCTAGAAGTGAAGAATGGCAAGATTACATTACAAAAGGGAATGTAGGATATGTGGGATGGCTGTGACCATCTTCAATAATAATCGGCTACATTAACAGTTATTTTGTTTTAAGGAATTATAGATTACTCCTTTTAAAATTTTTTTTAGATGGAAAACACCCCTATTTATTTATCTTTATATGGTGCTGAGGATCAAACCCAGTGCTCACTTGTGCTAGGCAAGCGCTCTACCACTGAGCCACAACCCCAGCCCAATTACTGATTACTTTTATTTTGTACAAGAGTATTCCATACTCTTGTTTCTTTGTTCTCCTAATTCTTTATATTAAGACTATGTTTCCTTTAATAGCATTTTTTAAATTATTTACATCAAGAAAACTAGGGGAAAAAGTCATGTAGGTGCCAAAGTCCACAGTATTAGGTGCTTTGCAAATGGAATTCAACAGCTGTGACCTTTTCTCTTTAAAAAAATGTAAAATGTGAGGTTGGGGGTGGGGTTCAGTGGTAGAGCACTTGCCTCACATGTGTGAGGCACTGGGTTTGAGTCTCAGCACCACATATAAATAAATGAATAAAATAAAGGTCCATTAACAACTAAAAAAATATTTTAAAAAATGTAAAATGTTTAAAGATAATACTTGAGATGGTTTCATGCTCTTGGAAATGATGCTCTGTGTATGTTTCATTTGGCCTGATCATCCAGTTTAAAGCATGGGACACATTTGTGTATGTTTGTTTTTGTTTTTACCAGCCATCTCATCTTTGTCTTTATACAGGTTCAGGCAAGGGAGACAGTCTCATCTACAATCTATTGGGAGTCGGAAGATATCAGGTTCCACTAATGATTTTCCATCCCTCCATATGTCTTATTGGGGATACACACCTGGATCTCTCTGTTGTCATGCAACTACTGTGATCATGAAAATAGCAACTCTATTTTCCTTGATATGCTATGATGGAAGACAAGGTACATTAGTGATCTATATGGAGAGCAGAAACTCCTGAAGAGATTGGGAATGTGAGAACATGCATGTTTAGTTGGATTTTTTTTTTTTATTTTGGGACAGGTACTGCTGAGTTGCTCAGGTTGACCTTGAACTCTTGAACTCATGATTTTCCTGCCTCAGGTTCCAGAGTAGCTGGGATTATAGGCATGTACAACCAATCATGGCTTACATTTTTAAACACCATGATCAAACTACTTACTCTTCAACCCCTGTGAGGGGAAGACTTGAGAAACATCATTTTCTCTATCTATAAAAATTATAAAGCCTTATCGTAAGGGAACGCAGTGGGGTTTTTGGAGTGTTTTCATCTTACTTTTACTCTTCCTGTGACGGTCAGAGTCTTATCCATAAGATAGGAATAGTGATCGCTACACGGCAGAATGTTATGAGTTAGACAATAACATCTATGCTTCAGGTAAATAGAAAGGGTTTTCCAAAAATCAAATTTGATGATAAATGTGAAAAGAGCATTTTAAAGTCTAAGAGACTACTCGAATGTTAATGGTTACCATTTTTATCCTTTTTTAGGTATAGCACATGCTATTGTCTTTAAAAACATAGTTTGAAAATGAGGAAACAGTTTTGACTTGGTCAGGGACCCGCATGAGAAACAGGACCCCTTGGAACTAAGGGATAAACACCTTTCAGAGGAAATAAGTCAGCCATGCTAGATCGCCCTCAGTCTTATGGGTTTAGCAATCCTACTAGAAAATTAGGAGTTAAAAATGCTCCAGTCTTCAGGGGTATGGAATGAGATGCCACACTAGGTCACGGCAGCTAAGCGAGTCAACTCAGCCTTCTGAGACTGTGGTCAGCAGAAATGCCAGCTCTGGAAATAATATTAGAGACTTTCCCAGATGATAAGGGCAATTCAAGGTAGTGAGGGAGAAATATATGCATAGAAGAGTCACCCAAATAACCCAGCTGTTACCTGTACATTATGCATATCCCCACATGGAGATTTCAGATGGCAACGAGACACATAACATAGGAAGAAGCATGATGAAAAGGACAGGAGCCATTGAAGCCCCAGCTCTGCATGTGATGGCATCAAGAGATGTCTTTCCTGCCTACCATGTAGATGCCATAAAAGTTCTTCCTCTTTGTTCTTTGCTTGTGCCAGCCTGAGATCTCCATCCTCCATGGGCTCTTCTGCCTCAGGTGTAAGTCACTCTCTTCTTTTCTTTGCTGGAGCCAATGTGGGGTCTCTGCTCCCTGAGTGCTATCTCCCTATTGGCTCTAGCAGAAGTCCCTTCATAAAGCCTTGCCTGTGTTTAGGTTCTTTCTCTGTCCAGTTGTTGTTTCTATAACTGTGGACAAAGAACCCAAGGTTGCTAATGTCTTCAGGGAGGGCAATCATTTTCCAACTAGTTAAATGGTAGAGTTTGGCTTCAACCTACATTCTGTCTCTTAGTTCAGTGGTAGTCACATCACTTTTATTATTCCCAATTATTTTATCAGTTGGAAACATTTTCCATACTTTCTTGATAATAACAAACTCTATCAAGCCTTGCATCAAACACTATCAAGTGTGTGGGACTATATGGTGGTATGTCTTATATCACCAAGATCACCACCTAAACCATGAGTCAGCCCATCAGTCTCCACCACCTGTTTTTGTAATGGGACCCAGTTACACTTGTTCATATATGTATTGTACGTGTGTGTTTTCATACTGTCGTGGCAGGGTTGCATGGTTATCATAGAGACTATAAGCTAGAATAGCCTAAAATATTTATTACCTGGCCCTTTGCTGACCTCTGAATTTTATCATCTCAAATACCACAGAAACCGTGCCTTCAAATAGTGATATTCCATAGTACATGAATCACATTGGCAGGTGCTCTTTTTAGCAATTCACCCGCAGCTGCATCAAGGTTTAAAAACGGACCCTTTAACTCTCCCTTATTTTCCCCCCAGGAGAAGCTTGGATTTCCTGAACACCGAAGGCATTTATTGTTAGAAAGTCTCTGACCCTAACTTCACTGAATATTGAAATAGCAAGAAAAGGACTTTAGAAATCCTGTCCTTTGGCATCCTTACTCAAGGGATGAGAAAAATAAGACCCACAGAAGGAAGGCCATTCCTCTCAAGTTAAGTGCTGTTTGGCAGCTAGATCAGAACCCAGGGATCTAGACTTTCAGTGGTTAAATTATCCTGAAAACGGAATGAGACTGAATTGTATTTCCCTGCTTGTGGACTTCAGGGGTGAGTTTTCATCCAGCTGTTTGATGCTGGTGAAGAAAAGGGCCACATATATCTCTGGATCATGGGGTATTGTCCAGAAAGTTAACATTAGGACCTGGGTTTTGAAGCCTAAATTAACCCACTAATATCTTGTAGTTTTTCTAAGAAAAACAACAAACAAAAGAACAGACTGCACTGTTCATTGTGGTCTGTTTAGCCTTGATTTCCCTCATGGATAAGTGGAGTGTTGATGATTCTATCTGACCTGACATCATGGAGGTCTCAGAAGACCAGGCCAGGCTCTGACAGCTGTTAAATAACATATGTGAGCTCACCAAGGGGAGAAAGTTCAAGGAGGGTGAGGCTAGGTTATTGCTCTGGTTTCTGAGTGTCTTTGTTCTCTCTCTGCATAAAAAGCACAGTTTTTAAATTTATTGGTTTATCAGTTATATGGAGTTTGTGTAGTTCTGTGAGAAAAACCTTGTCTTGTATTTGGGGCACCTGTGTCCATTTGCTGGACTTATAGGATTCTTTGGCTCAGTTTGCCCTTGTAAAGAGCTTTGCCCCCAAATACAATTAAGTTTGTCAAGGTCTTCATGGAAAATTCAGGCTAAAAACATCAAAGGTCCAACTGTCAGGCAGGTTAGCAGGAAAGGTCAGGGCAAGGGCATGAATAAGAGAGTGCTATAATTGGACAGGCCTTTGGTTTTTAAAACCAATGAGATTGAGTTTTTAGGAGAATTGAACTTTTGGGTGACACTGATGATACTTAACAGGACTGAGCATGGAATCTGATTTGTCTCTGCCCAGCATTCCTTCTCCATTCTACTGATAGTAGCAACAACCTCTTTCCTTTAGGGAAGTACCCCCTCCTTAAGCCATGCAATTTCAGCTTAAATACCAGGGATTTTTCTCCCCTGTGGTCATAGATATAGTTATGTGATCCAAGCCAGGCCAATTTCCATCTAAACACAGAGGCTGATGGGGCAGAAACCCCTGATAGAAATGCAAACCCTATTGGGGGAATTCCCAAATCTGCCCTGGGTCCAGTCTTCCTATGTCTGCTTGTTTGGAATTTTTTTTTTTACTTGAATTTGTGTGTTTGTGTGTGTGTGTGTGTGTGTGTGCGTGCGCGCGCGCGCGCGCGTGTGCTCTCTCTCACCCAGTATCATCATCACCATTTATTTATTTATTTTTTACTTAAGTTGGTAGTTTTCTGTTGTGTTGTTTACAGATTGTTTAAATAATACCAAGGGACACAGAATAGCTGGGCCTAACATATGTTATCTTATATATTTAACAAAAACACCATGAGGTATATATTAATAATTTTTTTGCATGCATGAGGAAATTAGGGAGAGCTAATTTGCTATGGTTTATGCTGGTAACAAGGGAAATAGTTAAGTTTGGAGCTCGATATTGTCATATCCTAGATCTGAATGCAGTGTGCAGTTGAGGGCAGGTGTCAGCAGTCTGAGTCTCAGAAAGTACCTAGGAACATTCTAGTAAAGCCAAGTACTATGTAAGGAACAGGAGCCCGGCACCAATACTACCCCTTTCTTATATCCTGGAAGCAGTATCTCTTCACACAGAAGGGTTAAGTTGCATTGCTCACACTCAAAAATCATTTTGCAAGGGACAGAACTGAGCTCTAGACATTTTAAATGGATTTAAACACATAGCAAGGTCAGATAACTCTAGGTCATGTAGCAAGAGTTCGCCATTAATGCCAGATCACGAATCAAGATCAGGGATTGCTGATTCCTTATGCAGCTCTCACTTCCATGATTTCTTCTGGGAATGTTGTGATTTCCCAGAGCAATATAGTGGAGTTGGACTAGATGCACATTTAACTTTTGTAAATTTAAGTTTAAACAGTTGCCAATGAAAGCAGACAGGAACAGAAAAGTGACAAAATTTTAATACTGCAAGTTATTCCATCTGTTAGTCTGGCTGTGAGATGGGAAAGGTGAGTAGAATGATCACAGTGGGTTTTTGGTCTCACAGAGCTCTTACTGTGAGCATCTAACCATGCCCAGTGATCAGGTGTTCTATATTTCTTTATTGTTAACTCATCAACATAGACCCCTTGAAACACACTTGATGTATTTCCACTGACCTCTTATCCCTCCCAACTCTAGCTGTTTTGTAAAAGTTATGGAGGAAAAAACTGATGATGCTGGTGGACTTCCTGTAGCTGGTGGTACAATTTACAAGCAGATATATTTTCAAAGATGTTTTGGACTATGGTTGTTATTTTATCAGTGTACTGATTTTAGAATTTCAGCCCCAGATATGTTGAATCTCCAAGTCTTACTGTAGTGGAGGCAGTAAAATACAATGCAACGGTAACAGGCATCGTCTCTTCATTCAGAAGGATTCATATTCATATGCTGGTTCCATGTGTGAATCTGAACAATCCTTCATTTCCTCAGATTATAGGAAAATATTGATGCAAAATGTATTAAATTAAGTATTTAAATACTATCTATTAATATTGTTATTAGAACTATTCAAGGAAATTTTAGTGTTGGTGGTGCTGGTGCTACAGAGAGGAGCAGGGATCCACAGCTCTAGAGTTTAGCAATGGAGGATGTGACTCTCTGATATCATGTTATAGACCTTGATCTCTGATTATGATAATTTAGGTGTTGTCTTCTATTTGTTTCACTTATTTATCGCCAATTGCCTTTTTGCATTAAAAAATCTTCCAAGACCTGAATGACTTATAAGTGTGTGTATATGCATATGTTTAGTTTGCAAACCTGTGGGT